ACTTCAAGTTCACGATCAGAGGGTTTTATTCAATCTTGTTTCGATTACATGTGAAAAAAATCCTAATTTCCACGCATACAGGGTGGAACTAAAAATAAAACTGAATAGTTCACAAATGCGCATTTAAGCCTGTATTAGCACAATGTTCTCAGAATAGCATGAGATGCCTTTAAATTTTCTTGTTTGTTTCCAAACTTGTTTGTTTCCCGACTGCAGTTTTCTTCCCTGTCTCCCATTTCCCCCCAGATGCCTTTTTAGATTCTTGTCTCCTGCAGGAATCTCACCTCTCTTTAAAATTTGTTGTCGCTAAATTTCAGGTCTTTTCATTCTTTTTTTTTTCCATTCACACTTTTTGTTTTTCCTCCTGTGTCTTCATACAGTGCTCCCTGTGTGTCACTGACTCCCTGTTTCTCCCACCTGAGTCTTCACAGAGAATTTGTTTATCATCTTCATTTCTTCCCGGAGGACGTTTGTATGTGATTGTTAGGTTTCCTAATTCTAATTCATGACAAGTCAGCAAACAAACAAAACCTAGACAAAAATGAACTGCAGAGAGTGTTGGTGTCAAATCTTATACACAATCATTGTGATAAAAAGGGGAAAATGGAGAACACCCTACAAAGACTATGCCTGAGAAAGGGTGCCCCACAAAATCAGACCAATTAAATTTTAATAAAATAAATAAAAATTTAGCTATACTGCTGTCGATCCCACTAAAAGTTAAGGATTCACCACACAATGTTTTCTGTCGTTTATTTTTTTGTTCTTTTAGTTTTTTTATTGTTTGAAAATCTGTTTCAAGACAGCCTCAGAATAGCTCTTCTAATTATAAAGCACTTCCATTTCTATTCTTCTTGTGTAAGATTTAAAAGCATAACTGCTGGGACAGACATGGTGGTCAAGTGAGTGATAGTAGACTTGAGAGACAGAAGCAGGAGGCTCACTGTCAGCTGAGACCGGTCTAGTTTACATGGAGGGTTCTAGGCCAGCTTGAGCTCTGTGGTGATGCCCTGTCTTAAATGTCAAAATTAAAAAAAAGGGGGGGGGGAGGAAGAGATGGAGAAAGGGAAGAAGGGAGGAAGAAAGGGAGAAAGGTGGATAGCTCTATGTGGCAATTTGTTTTTTCCAAGTCCTTAGTAGATTTATTTCCTTGCTTTACTAAGTAGACTGTCCAACATTTTGACATTGTGACAGGGCATTACCGTCTTTGAAGTTCACCTTCTAGAACATTCTTAGCTGTCCATACCACTGTGACTGTGGGCCACAAGCTGCAATGCTGCCTGGACATCTTTCTATTTCTCCTGGCTCACTTACAGTTTGAGTCTACTTCCAAAAGGTTTTCTACCAAGTTGGGGTTTGTCCTCAGAAAGAGCTCTGCCAGAGTTTGCGAGGTCAGGACTGCTTTGTCCAGCCCCATCTTTCTCTAAAGCGGTTCTCATACACATTCCTGAGTTCGTCTGCTGTGTTTTCCTGCATCCCTACTTCAGGTTCTTTTCCTTATCCTGTCAGCCATTTCCTCTGCTTCTCTTCCCTCCCTCCTTCCCCTCTGCCTCCTTCCCTTCCTCTCTCCCTCCCTCCCTTCCTCCTTCCCTCATAACCTCCCTTCTTCTCTCTCTCCTAGACTCTGACCCTGCTAAGATCTTACTGTTGATAGTTTTTTCTTTCTTGTTTGTAGTTTAATGCTTTGGAGATGTCATACCGTGTGTTGTGAGATTTTTTTTTCTTTTAACTTTTAAGGAAACTTTTCTGGTGATATGTGAAGATATAGAAATAGTGAAAAACCACACTGTCACGATGCTATCTTAGCAGAATGCCTCACGGTGATTCTGTTTTAACTTAATAAACAAGTTCTTAGCAGACTGTTGCTGTGCTTTACATTGGGAAGAGAGAGGAACTGACCAATTCTGCTGCTCCTAGATGAGAACCTAGAGAAATCCTGGCTGTCTTGGCTGATGATTCCTTCTGTGAAGTGCTTATTATTTTATTTTTAATTTTGTTTTGTTGTTATCTTCCCCTTCAGAGTTTGAATTAATTGTTTGGGAACACGATACCTGCTTTGCAGCTGGGGCTATATTGCCATTTCTGAGTGTGTTGGGATTATGCCATGTTCCTTGAAGCCAGGCTTTGATATTTTAGAAAGAAAGAAAGGGACTTTCTGTTTCCTGTAGTGTACATCTGTGTTCTCTCTGGCTTTGTTTTCTTATGATGCTTGCTTTATTTACAGTCGCGCACTGCAGTGTGCGCTTTTATCAGCAAGCCTCACATCAAGTCCTTTGTACTGACACTGCGAACAGGGACCGTCTGGTCTTCCCTGAAGATTTTGTTTACTTTGGAATCTAGTCTTTCTCTGAACAGACGTAAGAAGAAAGGAAAGGTTCTTTGTTAAAGTCACCTTTTCTGCCTGCAGTGGCACCTCAACTTTAAATCATGTAAACATACCTTGTAGGCGATAGTGATTAAAATGTACGCAATTAAAAAGAAGGTGACCTTTGAGTTGTGGTGTCATAGGTCAGATTGGCTTTTGATTTAGTCTTGTGCTATCATTATAAAACTTCAGGATTGTAGGTGAAAACTGCAGCCGGGACAGACACTCATCAACAAGGGAGTGCATATCCACCGAGATCAGATATGCTGTGTTCACTGTGAAATGCTGAGCGGAGCGTTTTCTCTCTCACATGTTTTGAACAGCAGTGGGGACAATCGGTAGCATCTTTTCTAATGGTAGTTTCTATCATTTAAAATTGGACAACGAGGCAAATGACTGCTGTATAACTACATTTCAGACTGTTTTATTTTGAAAAGATCTCATTTGATGATTCCTAACCTTAAATTTATTATCTTGAAGCTTCCCAAACAGATGCCTCCTTTCTGAGTACGGAAAGGAAATGGCCAGCTATGCTCATAAACCAACTGATTATCAGTTTAAGATTTGCTTTCCCTCTTGGTAGAATGATTTGAGACTCAGCTTGCCTGTTTCCATACTTCAGCATGAAAACATTTTGTAGTCTATTGGTGTGTGAAACTGGTTAATAGTGTGTTTTTCTCCTTCCTTCCTTTTTTCCTTCCTTCTTTCCTTCCTTTCTCCTTTCCTCCCTCCCTCCCTCCCTCCCTCCCTCCCTCCCTCCCTTCCTTTCTTTTCCTGTGATAGGGTTTCACCATGTATTCCTGGTTAACTTAGAGCAGACTAGGTAACCCAGGCTGACTTTTAATTTTGATTCTCCTTTCTATACCTCCTGAAACAGGTGTGTGATACCCTACCCAACCAACATTAAAGAAACTTTTTTTTTCCTTGAGGTTCTGGGCATTGAACCAGGGCCCTGCATGGGTCAGCCAAACACTACCACTGAGCTACATCCTTAACTTCAAACAATGAAGTATGAAGCATCTTTTAAACTCTACTTCTTTGTGCATGATATGTGACAATAATGGTGTATAGATCATAAAGTTGATGTAAGGATTAAAGGAAATAATACATCTATATTATTGACTGTTTATGATATACTGAGCATGCCTTTGGTAATTGGGCTAATTGACAAGTGGAAAATGGTCTACTTGGGGGATTTCAGTATTAGTGGAAGAGCTAATTAATTAAGTATCACATCAAACATAAACTATTAACATAATTAACATGGAGAGTTATATGTCCCCTTATAGATATATGCTATAAAGACTTGAGCTGTCTGAGAGATTTGGGGATATCCTCTGGAAAGATAAGGATTTACTTCCAGTTTCAGTGGTCAGTCCATTATGAAGGAGGGAGCATGAGGGCTTGCAGACAGGTGTGGCTGGAGCCATAGCTGAGAGTTCCCTCATGATCCATAGGCAGAGGCAATGAGAGGGACACACTTCTTCCAACAAGGCCATACCTTGTCATCCTTTTAATTCTTTCAAATAGTGTTGCTACTTGAGCTCCACTACCTGGTGACTAAGCATTCAAATATATGAGCCTATGGGGCCATTTTTATTCAAACCACATGGGTGTATTGTTCTGGTCATCTTTCTCTGTCAAGCATGGGAATGCCAACTAGGAAACAGTGTTGCATTCTGGAATCATCTTTGTAATAATCTACTATTGTTATTTTTAAATCCTCCCTAGTTATTCTTACACATAGGTTTATAGGCTTCAATGTTTGTTGTTTCCTTTTTCTATTAATTATTGTACTTTTCTGAATGCTAATCCCATGATTCTTCCATTTAGGAACAAACCTGAGAAGATAGCTCTGTTTACTTTCCATCGATTTTACTTTTTGAAATAGAATTTTCTTTTGTGTAACGTTAGGTAAAATAAATGAAAGAATGCCGACTTATTACCTACTGTGATGTCTATAAATATTTGATGCTTCTTAGCTTTGTAAAAATGCTCAAATATTGTCATTTGTTATTTAACTTCAGCAAACTAAAGCCAATACTGATGGAATTGTTGGTATCCCATGTTGGCAGAAAGAATTTGAGTGACTTTACATGCTTTGGTTTTTCCAAGAACAGCTCTAGTAAAGAGTTCTCAGGCTCTCTCCAAACGTGGAGGAAGGGTTTGAAAGGTAGCTGCTACTTTGGCTCTACATATGTGTATATATGTGCATGCACGTGAACGTATTTATTTTTGTACATTTCAGTAATAATATGAGTTAATGCACAGCTAAATGTGGGTGCTCTGAATTTATTTGTCAAATGGAAAAACCATGAGTAGGCAATTCAAACAAACTTGCAGTGAGCATCACATAAAGTCCAGGTAGCCTAACCTATCTCCTCTTTGCTTAAATACTTAGTGCAAAAAATACCTGTATGGAACAATATGGTGTGAGTCTTTAGGCACCCCAAGGTTACCTGGGTCCATGTAGGATGACAGGTAAATTTTTATACAGCAAATTCTCTTGAGACTCAATTTCCCACCCATACACAAACGCCCCTCATGCAGGATTGGTCATAAAGTTTGCCATGTAACCTGTTACGTTTCTTAAATGGACTGATAGTCATTGTAGAAAATTCATTTATTTTTCCAGGACCTGATCTTCAGGTTTGTGTATCCAAAAACCCAACATGCTGTACCAGGAAGATGGAAGAGCGATACCAGATTGCAGCTCGGCAAGATTTGCAGCAGGTGCTTCAGACATCCAGCTCAACATTAAAGTTGTTAATATCTCGAAATGCAGCTGCTTTTCAAGGTATATGGATTTGAGTGCTGGGCGAATGAACAGTCCTATTATGCTATTTACTTGTGATAGCAATATTGGTAAATTTGGCTAGGTTTATTTCTTTGTAATTGTGTCTCATTCTGGGATAAAATAAAGTTTCTTTTTCTAGCCATTATAAATTATGTATGGAGCCTTCCTGAGCAGCTATTAAAGATGAATAAGAGAAACCATTGTGTTGTTGAAAAAACCCATTGGAATGTATGTCTTTAAAGAGAGAGCGCTCCCAGTTTTCCATGATAGTCACCCCTCATTTTACCTCAGTGGAAACACGTATTTACCACATCCTGTGGGCAAAAGAGGCAATATAAACTCTCACCTATTATTGCCTGTATAATCACAGATTAATTTTTAAGGGTAGGAATTGAAGAAATGTTTATCTTGAGTTTTTTCCTGGCAACCCCATGTGGTTTTCATCAGAACACAGATTTGATGTACTAAGCACATTCAAGACTGATAAATAGTCAAGTCAGATATATTAATTGATGTTTAAGGGGTGTCTAACCTTAGAACTCATCCCTACATCAAACATGTTGACACATAAAATTAATGAAATGTGAAATTATAAGGCACACTGTAAAATAGATTTTTTCCTTATTTTAGTCTTTTTGTGAAAGTTCTTATTACTGTAATGAAATAGTTTAATTTTTTTCTCCTTCACAAGACTTTTTTTTGTTTCTATGCTTAAAATTAAGAAAAAAATTAGCTTACATGACTTTTAAAACCAATTTACAGCTTCTGCTCAACATAGAACATAGGTTCTGTTAGTCTTCCTGTTTGATAAGTATAATAATGTCAGTATATGTGAATAATTTGCATGTTTATATGTATAACTAAACCACAAAGCTGATTTTTAAAATTTTACTTCCTAAATAAAATAAATTTAGTAAATCAAAATAAAAACTTAGTTTGAGTTAAAATACAGCTCATGATGAATTGATGATTTTTTTTCCTTTATAAATTATGAAAAGATTCTAAGATATTGGCTCAATTATGTTTTTGAAGGTCTAGAATATAGCTTTGGTTCTCTTGTGGAATTTACTTATAGGAAATTGTGGGGAGGAATTCACGGACATGCAATTTGCATAAAGATTTGTGACACGAACTGGCAAAATTAGAAAGCCTTGGGTGCCCAGTGGAAATGATAATTCTTATTTCTCGTAATAATGGGAACATCATGATATAGAAAATGTATTTTTTTCAAGTGAACAAGCAAGAAGTAGAAAAGTCAAAGTCAAACAGTGTTCCTGGTTGTCAGTCATATACTTGCAAAGGTAAGGGCAAAGTTGGGAAGAAATCTTAAAACACATATTTGAGAATGTCAATGAAAAGGTTTGCGTGGGGAGTATTTCCTACGAATTCTCATTTTTTAACCTTAAAGTTCATCCTCTCTGGAACAGGTGGCCCGAGAAGGTCATGACGAATGCAGCCTTCCCTTAGCATCAGTAACTACAGACAAGGGCATGGTGCCATTAGTTGCTCTCACATAGGCACTTAATGTTGGAATTTTTTTCTTTCAAAGGTACGTTAGCAGAATTTCACTAATAACATATTTCTCAATAAGTCAATAAAGATCAAAAGATTGTAAAATCTGGAATATATAGACCATTAAGATGTGTTGAACTACTTAAAAGCTTTGTTGATACAGTTAAGGGCTGGGTGATGATCACCCCAGGAGCAAAATGGATATTAAGATCTTGGGCCATAATTCCCTGCCCAATGTTATTTAGTGTCTATAGTCTTTTGTTATTTTCTGTTTAATAAGTTTAATGTGCTGTTATTAACAGATGAACATTGGCTTTTAAAATTAATTATAAACATAGGAGCATAGAGGCATTATGAAAATGATTTGCCATAATCAACTCTGATGAGCTCCCACAGCGTCTGTCAAGCTTCGTTTTAGAATTGTGAAAAGACAATATAGATTTAGAAGGAATTTGCCTATAGGCTTTTGTAGGAAGAAGACTTTCAAGGATACCAGCCTTAATTAAATACACAGAAGAGTTAACTTGGGGCATAATTTCATCAGTGAACTTTAAATATGTATGTCCAAAATGAAATGAAAGATCAAATTTGTTGCATCACAACCAAGCAGGCAATTTTGCCAATAAATAATTGAAAAATGAAATCTTTATTTAAAACAATCCAATGCATTCATCAGGAAGCAATCTGCTTGACAGAAATTTGTCAGTGGATCAGTTCACATCTCTTGAAAGTGGATTTGCTTATTTCATCATTAAATTTTCTTTTCTTTTTTTAAATGTTTAAAGTCTTTATTTTTTCCTTTTATAGAAAATAGCTTTCCCCCATATAACATATCCTATTATGATTTTGTTTCCTCTCCTCCTCCCAGTTTCTTCCCATCTTCCCTCTCATCCAGATCCACCCTCTTTCTGTCTCTCCATAGAAAACATATTTCTAATGTATAACAATAAATAAAATAAAATAGGATAAAACAAAAAGTAAAACATTGGAATTGGACAAAACCAACACAAAATGAAGGGGAAAAGCCCAAGAAAAGGTATAAGAAACAGAGACCCACTTGTTGGCACACTCAGGGATCCCATAAAAAACACTCAACTGGAAGTCATAATATATATGCAAAGGACCTATTAGAGTGAAGAAAAGAAATACATGAATAAAATAAAATTATTAAAGAACCCTGACATGATAGTATGAGACAAGATACCTCCAAAGAAGATTTTGTGATCTTTTACTGCTTGCCATCCACTCTTGGGCACGTGGCCCACCCTTTTGTTTGTTTGTTTGTTTTTCAAGACAGGATTTTTCTGTAGCTTTGAAGCCTGTCCTGGAACCAGTTCTTGTAGACCAGGCTGGCCTCAAACTCACAGAGATCCACCTGCCTCTGCCTCTCGAGTGCTGGAATTAAAAGCGTGCACTACCATCTCCCGGCTATGGTCCACCCTTAAGAGTAGTTTCATCTAGTGAATCTCCTTTGGAGAAAACTAAGCTTTCATTTGCAAGTGGTTATCAATTGGAGATTGCTTCTGGGATGGGGTGGGGCCATGTCCACTCTTCCTTTCAGCTCTAGGATCCCATCTGATGGAGACCAGTGCAGGCCCTGTGCATGCTGTCTGAATATCTGATCCCTATGTGTGTAGATCTTGCTGATTTCAAGGGCCTTGTCCTGGTGTCCTCTTTCCCTTCTGGCTCTTACTGTCTTTCTGCCTCCTCTTCTGCAGGGTTCCCTGATCCCTAAGAGGAGGGATTTGATGGAGACCTCCCATTTAGGGTTGAGTGTTCCAAGGTCTCTCATCCTGCATATTATGTGGTTGTGGGTCTCTATTTTTGATCCCAACCTCTGCAAAAGGAAGCTTCTCTGATAATGTCTGAGCAAGATGGCATTGAGCTATGAGTAATCAGAATGCCATTAGAGTCATTTCGTTATTATTTTTTTTGTTTATAGAACAGTAGGATTGATTTTATCCTAGGTTTCTGGACTATCTAGCCTCAAGTTCAGGGTCACTCAAGCAGTGTTGGATATGGGTTCTGTCTCGTGGAGCGTGCTTTAAGTGGAATCACATATTGACATGTGCTAGCATATCTTGCAGGCATGACACTGTTGCAGATGAAAGGGTTTGTGGCTGAAATTTCATTTACAGTTTTTTTTTTAAAAAGTTTTTATTTGCTTTGTTCATTCATGGGCATAGCATCTAGATTACTCTCACCCATTCTTCTCTACCCTACAATATCTCTTGAGTACCCCATCTCCCTCCCACATTCACAAAATCTTTAATTATTCTTGTTTATGTGTATGTGTGTGTGTGTGTGTGTGTGTATGATGAATTAATTATTTTCCCCAGACATTTTAAAATGTCAGATTTCAAAGTAATAGATTAGGAATGTATGTATGTATGTGTGTGTGTATATATATATATATATATATGTGTGTGTGTGTGTGTGTGTATGCGTATGTATTGTGTATGTATGCATGTATGTATGTACGTATGTATGTATATGTCCTACTGAGTCTATTTATCTTTGCTTAAATACATGTGTATACAGGGCTAACCGCTAGGTTTGCACACCCCGTGCAAGAGCTCTTCTCCAAAGAAAACTATTTCTCCTTCTCACAGAAGTCATTAATAGCCATAGTTTGTCCACTTAAAGGTGGTGTTGCCATTGTGACAGTCTTGTTGGGAGCTCATGCGTGTACTCATGTTTTGGACACACCAGATGGCAATAGGTGTACTGGTCCCCTGGCTCCTGCAATGTTCTCGTTCTTTTATGTTTTCCCCTGAACTTTAGGTTCAGGGTTGTAGTGAACTTATATTAACTGGGACTGGGTGCCCTATGGCTGCTTATCCTTTTCATTCTTACCGCTTGTAGGTCTCTGTGATAGTTTTTATCTGTTGCAAAAAAAAAAAAAGCTTCTTTGAGGGATGAGAGCTACACTTAACGGTGGCTATAAGGTTGAGTATTTAGAACACAGAAGTTAAGTTGGTTCAAGATGATAATAGTTGGTTGTCCTACCTAGACATGGTTAGTTAGCTGTTTACAGTACTAAGCATGAATTCCCTCACACTGAGTTCCTTAAGTACAAATAGATAGTTATTGGTTTCCTCTGAGATGAAAGGTATTATACTATTATTGCACCACTGGGGAAATCTTGCCATTCTGGTCATTGTTGTGGTTCATAGGTTTTATTTCTGGCTACAAGTACCGTTACTCCCTCTCCCTCAGTGGTGGGTCTCTGCTATGTAGAAACATACTTAGCACCTCCTGATACTCTGGGAATCAGTCCGTAGCAAGGAGACTTCCAGGTCAGTTCCTCTTCCATTCCTCCAAGTCTTGTGTCTGAACTGTGTAGTGTCTGTAGCAATAAGGCTGTACATTCAAGTTCTGGAAGGAAACTGAGCACAATAGTACTACTAATTCATATTGTTTGGGAACTTACTGGATGACCCTGACCAACAACTTGAGGGAGGTTTCCAATGACTAGCTCTAGAGTT